GGGGAGAAGAGGTGTCAGAATTTGTTTTTTCTGGGAAAACAATGGATGATGTTACAGGAAATTTTTCTATTTTATTTAGGTGTGTTTTCTTCAAACCATTGTAGACAAATAAAAATTTATTTCATTGATTTATGCGGGTTTGCAAGTATTATGATATTTAATTGTGAAAGCTTTTCCTGGGGAGGGATTTGGCTCCTCTGCCTTGACATTTACGTGCACATGTATTTATAGTTGTGATCTGTCTGGAATTTGCCTTTGTGGTTTTGTTTGCTCTTTAATTTGTTCTATGATCTGGTCCTGTCTTTCTCAGTTTTGTTTCTATGGTTTAAGAGGTGAGGAGTACAGAAGAAATGGCTTAATTTAAAGGAAATAATGTGCATTTTTATAGAGCTTCAGGGAATATTGACATTGTTCTGCCTAGAAGCTTTTCTTTAAAATAATTGGTGCTAATTTATGATTAATCTATAATTTGACTTCAGTATGTTACTGTTACGTTTCCATAGTATATCTCAGTTATGAGGTTGTTATGAAGGCTTCTTTAAAGAAAGCAAATGACTGAAAGCTAATATTGTCAGTGTWGCTCTTCTAGAACCTGGAAGTGGTATAACCTTGTTCCCACTTTCTGCCAAAGAAGATGTATAGTTCTTTGCCATATGCCAGTTAAACTATGATTGTTCTGAGAGAATAATGGAAAAGACATTTTAAAGCAACAATTATTTTACTGAAATAGTGACTCTAGTGGAGTGCAGTAGTCAAACACGATCTCAGAAGTGAAGTTGAGCTGTTGAAGAACAATTTTCAGCTTCCTGGTGTATATTTAATACACATTTTTAGATAAAGAAAGGAAATCTGGTATTACAAAAGTCAGTGTCACTGTTTTTGATCAGAGAACATRGAATATCTCCTAGGTAAGAGATTGCTTATATTAGGCAAGTTTTGTATATTTACAAAATTTTATTTGGTTTTCCTGACAATAGAAATTTTTAATATTCTACTTGGGATTTTAGTAATTTGTTAAAGTTGAAGATGTGCTGGTTTTCCTCCCAGTCTAAATTAAAAAGCTTGAACTGAAATTCCCATTTTGGGTTTTTTTAAAAAAAATGTAACATAAACAGTGATGAAAAAATACAGGCTGTTAATCTTYGCAGAGAATAATAGGAGTATCTGAAGTAGCTTGTAAGAAGAGAAAGACGTGCCTGAGACTGCCTAGTTTGGCAGAAAATGGTTTCACAGAATTGTGTATTACCAAACTCTTCATAGATACACTTGGTGCTGGAGTGATGATAACTTTTGTCTGTGTGTACCTGAAATGGAATGTAGCTGTTGTATTTGAAGACTGTATAAACAAAGAACTGATGATACAGATGGTTGAGTCATAATGTGATACATCAATCAGGGAATTAACAGRGTAGAGTGAGGAAGAAACCTTATTGATAGTGAGGGGGTTTTATCTGTTGTGTTTTTGAGGTGGCTTCACAGCCAAGTATTTTACTGGGTTTGTATGTCAGAGAATTACCTTACCTTTCTTTCAGGAGCATGCTTGATTGAGTCYTAGATTGTGGCCTTGCTAATTTTATAGATAGAGCTGAGTGTCTTGCTTCTGGAAAGCTCAGTAAGCTGCAGGACACACCACTGCTGGCTTGTCAGATCTGAGATCATCCTTGGCTACGGAGGATCTCTCAGGCTGTGTGTTCTAATACTACCTAAACAAACCGGATCAAATCCCAGAACCACCCCTTCTTCAAGCTAAAGGTGAAAGTCCCGGTAGAAGGTGAGCTCACCTCCCAGTGTGCCACAGTTGGAACAGGGTGTGAGCAGGTGTGCAAACACTGCAGGTGCTACTTGGACACAAAGTGGCAGCCTCTGAAATGCAGGGTGTCTGGGAAATGGGCATACTGRCAGAATGCCCTGTGATATTTCCAGGAAATACAGGAAAGACATCAAGATAGAAATACAGAAACTTGTGAAGAAAAAAAGAAAAAAAWTCCCATAAAGGAGTTCATGAGTAGGTAATGACCTTATCCAAGTCCAAACCTTAGTAGGTTTTTTTTTTTTAGGGGACACTTACTCAGGCATTTAAACAAAATATATTCAAACATACAGGAAGCAAAATCTTATAATAGTCTAGAAGAGTGTTTTTCTAGGTGTGTATGGTAACAGGGAAGATAAGACTGTAGCAAGAAGACTAAATATTTACTTGTGGTTTTTCAGGGCTGTTTTCTGTTTATCTGTGCATATTTGAAGTGGGACTGCAGGGCTAGATGTCCTTGAGGAGAGTACATGAAGGATTTCCTTCCTTTGCTTTTGATGATAATTCTGGAGAGGAATATGGGGGGGAAAAAAAAAGACCCAGATTGATTAGAAAATTGCAAATATCAGATTTTGGTAGTTCTAAAAATACAGCAGCTCTAATACAGCAAAATTGGAAGATGTAAAAACTCACCACACTTAGCAGATTAGAAATTGTTTAAAGAGCTCAATAAGCATGTGAGAGAAACTGTAGCTTATGTGTATTTTCCAAAGGTCTCTGATTGAGACCTCTGAAGATGCCTCTGATAAAAGGAGGATCTCAACGCAAAGAAGGGACATGCTTTCTGGAATATTACCCATTGACTCTTACAAAATATGAAATTCCAGACTATAAATGCATTCTGACATGAAGATCTCATGCAGGGCATGAAGTATAAGTAATGTAGTCATTTCTGTAAGTATATCCCACTCAGAATCTTAAGTAGTTTAATTTTGAGAGAATAACTTACATAATTAGGGTATAACTCTTAGGCCAGAATAGCATGTCCCCCTCTGTTTCGAAGAGAAAAGATGCCTGAACACTTAGTCACAGTGATTATCAAAAAGTTTCGTTGTAACTTTGTYCTTACCAGAATTTGTTCTGTAACTTTTGACAGTTAAGGTGAAGAAACTTTTATTGAAGCAGAAATCCTAATTATTTTGGCTTTTAATAAAATCTGTGAAATTAATTACTATGTTGTTATAAAATGGGGGGCGTGGAAGGGGGGGGCGGTCCAGGGAATCTGTCATGACTGAGGCTTGCTAATTGCACTGCTTAAGTATTTTTGTGATAATTAAAAGGAGACATATGTGCTTAATACAATGTTTGTGGTGGAGAAAATGTTGAATTTAGGATGTGAGTTTCAAGGAATTTATCTGAAATACTAATTTAAAATCAACTCCAAGAGCAGTTTTTAAAGAAAGATAAAAAAAGAAAGGGTAATTTAGTAAAAGACTAGTTTTATTCTAGGTGARGCTCAGCAACCACTTTTTCCTTCAGCTGTAAAGGTAATTGATTCTATAACCCTGTGACTCCCGCTGTGCCAAAAATGCAAATGAGTCCTGAGAACTTTGGTGTAAGGGGAGCCAATTCCTTCTTTCAATACCCTTTGGCCTCTATTACATTTGAAACAGTAAGTACATAAAAATTTTTGCTTTCTAAAATAATCCGGTGAATTTTTGACTTTGTCTTTACCATATTCWTATTCCATATTTCTTATCCTTTATCTTTTCCATATTCAAAGGAGGATGTGAATAAAAACCCCTAAATAAATAATTAGGCAAATCCTGTTATAAGGAATCTAGTAAATTCTATTGCAGAAATTGGAAAAGATAATGATGTGATGATTAGGAGAATGACATAAAGACTAGAAAGTGCCAAATCTTTTTCTAGTACTTTCTGGTTAAGGAGATATTTTCTGTTCCTTCTGATCAGTCTCTTTTTTAAGTTTCAGCTGATTCTAGAAAACAGCTTCGAATATAATGCTCACTGAATCAGAGGATTAGTGAGTTTTATTGATGTAAGCAAGGCAGCTRAGCTTAATTACCTCCATAACTTCATTACTAGGCTTCAAACAGATAAATTCTGTAGAAATACCTTTATAYGGTTAACTTCTAGATATGACCAAAAGTGGTGTATTTTAATACTSTGTTTCAGGGAGGAGTAATTTTTCAAATTGTGTTAATCTGTCTTGAAGTTCATTGCCCTACTGATAATCATAGCTAATTTCTTGACCTCCAGCTCGCAATGGAGGTACAAAAGAAATCTTGTAGGCTAAACCTTCGTATCATTTTCTCTACGGAGCGTGACAAATACATAAGTAGTAAAATTTGTTTTGTATATTTTTAWAGAAATGTGAAAGAACCAAGTGTTTTTCTGTTATTAGCATCTCATCAGATGAAAGCTATTTGYTTGCTATATTGCCGTACTTGTATAATAATCTTGATATTTCCTGTTCCATAGAAGAAGGCTGAGACAGGATTTGCAGTTTTGGTCTGCTTTAATTTAGTGGCTTGAATTGTGGTAAACAAAGTGGTATTATTTGCTCAGTCTCATTTCTTACTGCTTAATAGTACAGGCTATGGTCAGCTGTGGTTGAGGGTGCCCTAATTTTATTTTTAAAGAGACGAAGTTTTGCTTTCTGAAGYTCTGTAGTTAATTTGGGTGCAAAATGCCTCATAGACTTTGCTGGAAAGGGTACAAATCCGTGTTGATATATTTGGAAAAGAGTTATGTACAGCTGTCTCTATAGAAACAGTGAAGTAAAATGCTATAATTACTCTCGGTTGGCTTCTGCCTGTCTCTCGGGGCAGATAATTCTTCAGAGCTGACTGGGTTCTGCCCTGTTGGTGAAAGGCACTGTTCTCACTCTGTTTTAGCCTTTAAACCTGAGTCGCTTGGGAAGGGACAGCGGGAAGCTGAGCGTTGTGTGTGGCGCAGGCGCGCAGAGTGAAAGCTGTGCGGGCTGGGGCGGTGGGGAAGTGACGTCCGTGTTATTTGGCGTTCTAGAAAGAGCGCAGACACGTCCTTGGGTGGGCGGGCTCTACGGAGGGCTGTGCCTTCCCAGTGTGTAATCATTTATAAATGAGCAGCGGGGGTAGCAATGAAATACGGAGAAGCTGTCTAGTCTTTAATGTATTGTAGTGTTTGTTGTTTTCTAGCAGTTCTGTTCGTTTCGATCCAGAGTTTGATTTTTTTTTTCCTTCTCTAGCATCTCCACCTTGCTAAGACGCTGGACGCTGCCTTCTTGATAGCAAGGAAAATCTGAATTTCTCCAACACTCACGATGGGGAAAGATTATTATTCTATCCTGGGAATTGAAAAAGGGGCTTCTGATGAGGATATCAAAAAGGCTTACAGAAAACAAGCACTGAAATGGCATCCAGATAAGAATAAATCTCCCCATGCAGAAGAAAAATTCAAAGAGGTTGCAGAAGCTTATGAAGTGCTGAGTGATCCCAAAAAGAGAGACATTTATGATCAGTTTGGGGAAGAAGGTATGTATGCCTGTTATACTATGATCAGTTACTTTTATTATGTTGAATGAAGCACAGTAAAGGTGCAAACATGGTATGTGTTCATTTTTAGGCAATGTACTTGTTTGGCCCATTGGACTGTAAATATAAGATGCATTGCTGGGCTTTAATGTTGGTGTAGTTTTAATTTCTTATTTTAATGGGGCTTGTTATAAACATAAAATACTTGACAGACAAAAAGTTACTGAACAAAGRAATTTCTATCACCCATAAATAGCTTTCTGGGATCTCTCACTGCTGTCCTCCCTTGCCATAGCAGTTTTTGAGATGCAGTACAAGACATGTATTCTTTTCTTAAATTTTTGCTTAAAGGCAGTTTGCTTGATATAGGCAAAACAGTCCTTCTGAGCAGAAGCCCAGGTGTCCAGCCTGTAGTTGTCCTTGGCTTCTTGCCTGGAGAGGAAAGAATTTGGCTGATGTCATGAAATACCAGAGCAATTTTTTAGCTTTAATTGTAAACAGTGATAACATGCCAAGAGAATGAGGCCTCAGAAATGTCATATTTGTCCTAAAATGGTTATCTGAACAGGATGACTTTTTTCTTTTTTTGTTCATTTTTGACCAACATGACTTTTAGTCTTACGATTGAGCAACAGAGGAAGTCATTAAGATCCSTTCCCATAAATGTATGGTATCCGAAATTCCATATGAAATAATTACTTCCGTTGTGGCAAGTAGGCCTGCTCATTGCTATTTACTTGGGGCCATGTTTTTTACTGCTATAAAGGAGGACACTTAAATAGCAGTATTTACTATTTTGGGCAAAGATATAAAGTAGAACTTGGAGAATGATTAATCGGGGAATACCGCCTGATGCCTCAGGAGCTATGCCTTGCTCTTCAGACTCCTTTAGGAGTGTAAATAGTTGTTGTAAGGAAAATGCAGAGGGTTGTGGTTTGTAGAAAGGAGGGAACATCAGTACTTTTACAGCCAGGAATTGATGTGCCTTCAGTAACTTCTGACTAGCTATTCCAGAAGCTGTCTTTCTGCTCTCACAGATTGAATCCCCTGATCTTCTTGTTTGACCTTAACAGTAGTGTGACAGAAGGATGCAAAGTAMTTTTGATCTGGTCTGATGTTAAAATGGGGAAAACATTCTAATGTCGTACTTGGTTAGTTTTGGTACCCAACATTAAGCTTATGCATAAGAAAATTGAGCTAAAAAAATCCCCAACAAACCCCTCTTTCAAATTTACAGAATGCCTACTTCATGATGTAAGCCTTCATGTTTTYGTGGTTATGAAAAGTATAATATAATCTGTAGTTCTGAATTGGTCTAAGATTGAAAAAAAGAGTTACAAAAACAAGCATTGTAAGTTTGGAGATAAAGGTCTCTTAAAACTTTTCAGTCTTTTAACAATTTGAGAAAGTTTACTGCAATGATCAGTGCAGAAGAGCACTGGTAAGAGGAATACTTGATCACCTATTGAGAAAGAGGCATTGAAGAAAATTTATTAGCGTGGTTTGGGATGAGCACAGGAAGTACAAGGGACTTTCCAGTGAGAATTGTAAGGGAAATCTTAGCAGGAAGAAATGAGATGTAGATCTCTCCATATGAAAGGGCAGAATTATTGTGAACCTTCTGATTTTTTTTTTTGCGGAGAGACAGTGTGATAGTGTGTACAAGGTTTTTGTACCCAAATGGATCTTAATAAGTTCCAAGATTTTATTTGTGCCTGCACTGAAGAGAGTTCCCTGGATTTGTACCTGTTTTATGTCACAGGAACTTAAATTGTGATAAGTTTGGGATTCTAAATTGARTGTTAAGGAAGCATATATGTGCTTGACTGTTGGTGTGTTACCTTTTACTCAAAACAAATTGCAGGAAAATGGGTAAAACCTATTAACACTGAATTACAGCTGAGCTACAGACTATGAAATATGATAGTGAGTAATTTTCCCCAGAAGTGACCTTGTAGAAGGATGCATTTCCCAAAAGACAAGAATAGATAAGTCAAGCAAACCTGTCTTCTGGTCTAAGATGCTAATTAATTAAACTAACTCGTTTCAATCATATGAAATAAAATTGGCACTATCAGAATACCTGTTCTTCTGAAGTAAAAGTCATTCTAGAGCTTCAGAAACTTTGTTGCTGTTCAAGCTATTGAATTCACTCTTCTGCAAATATCTTTTCGACTCCTCTGTCCTCATATCATTACACTCTACGGTAGGAAAGCCAGTACTAATACCCACTTTGTTTTTAACTTGGTTTATTTGTCTTATTTAGGTCTTAAAGGAGGAGCTGGAGGATCTGATGGCCAGGGTGGTACGTTCCGGTACTCCTTCCATGGCGACCCACATGCTACATTTGCAGCTTTCTTTGGTGGCACAAATCCTTTTGAGATCTTCTTTGGAAGGAGGATGCCTGGTGGCAGAGACGCTGAAGACATGGAAGTGGATGGTGATCCATTTGGATCCTTCACTAGTTTTAGTATGAATGGTTTTCCAAGGGAAAGGAATACAGTTGGCAGCCARTTACGCCGTAAACAAGATCCCCCTGTAATCCATGAACTTAAAGTGTCACTGGAAGAGATCTATCATGGCTGCACAAAAAGAATGAGGATTTCACGTAAAAGGCTTAACCCAGATGGTAGAAGTGTCCGAACAGAGGACAAAATTCTTACTATTGATATAAAAAGAGGATGGAAAGAAGGCACCAAGATCACTTTCCCAAAAGAAGGCGATGAAACACCCAACACAATTCCAGCTGATATTGTTTTTATCATTAAAGATAAGCCTCACACTCATTTCAAGAGAGATGGATCAAATATTGTCTATCCTATTAAGATCAGCTTAAGGGAGGTACGTTTCTCTTGTGGCAGAGACAGTCTAAATGTTTGACATTATTACAATATGATACAATGGCTAAAGCTGTCTGGCAGCTGTGAATTTGGGGTTTGGGTTTTTTTTATAATAGTTTCACTTTTGTCAGTGTGTGGCTGAAGAGCACAGTTATTTATAGTGGAAGCAATAGCTGTTTTGATAAAAATGGAATATTATTTCAAGCTATTTACTGTAGAGATGGAAGAGGACAAGGGTGGAAGGGTAAGAATAAAGGTTGAGATGTCTTAAATCTTCATATATAATCTTTCTAGCTTATGGTGTATTAGGCAGAAATGACAAATGCAAACTAACAAGTACATCCTATATAGTATGCTCCTTGCTGCTGTGATGTGATTGCTACTTCTGCAGGACTAAGTAGAAGTGTCTTTAAGTATTTTCACTACCAACAAATTCTCTCTTTTTATCTCATAAGTTACTGCAGTGTGATTTCAAACTACATAGAGATTGATTTCATGAAGATAAATAAGTGTGAACAGGTGTAAGAGGAGCTATATATAACAACAAAAATGGTATAGCTTTTTAAAATTCCATTCCAAGTCAAAACATACTAGCTTTCCGAAAGGGAAGTCAGAAAAACAACTTCTCAGAATACTTAAAGAGTCTAAAGCCTCAACATAATCATCATTTAAAAGATAATGTAGCGTATATGTAATGTATTTTTTCTTCTTAATTAGTATCAGGTGGAGAAATGAACTTTGGCTTTCATTATAAGCTCTTAGTGTAAATTAAGCTACCTTAAAGAATTCTGAACTAAAATAAATGTGAAATGAGGTGAAGCACCTAAAGTAGTGAGGGAGGAAAAAAACACAATATTTAATGTTAATGTGGGTAATACAGTTCCTTCACAGATAAAACCTGTTTAGACTCATTGCATTGTTATGTAAATTGGACATTAGCAGTGTAGACTAAGTGTGGTGATTCAGGTGAAGTTGGAGAAATCAAAATCTTATTATCAGAGATCCTGGTGATGAAAATAAACTGTTGGATAAAGCAGGAGGTCTTTAATGTTCTAATTTTGGTGCAACAAAATTATTGTTTGCTTTTCTTTAGGCACTACAAATATTAACGTAAGACAGCTGTGAAATTTGATACGCCTCTGCTTATAGACACTTAAATGTTGTTCTGAAATTTGATATAATGCAGATTGATAATGTATTAGAATAGGTCTCCTGTGAAATGTAAACAAAAAGTGAAAGGGGATTCTAGATTTCCAATGGAAACTTAGAAGACTGGGAATCTCAAGAGAAGTTTAAGTGAGGAGTTTACTCTGCTCAGCTCACTTATTACTTAAAGTCTTTGAAGGACATACAAGCTCAATTATCCTCCAGTGACCACTGTAAGATTCATAAATTCAGTGATATTCAATGACAAATTCAAACTTTTCTTTTTAAGAGAGGAACACTGTATTTAAATTTTGACATCTCAGTAGCGCACAGTAGAAATACTGTTTAGAATTCTAGTCACTTTTAAATACTCCAGATTCAATAGTAGATACAAAAATGTTCTGACCAATTTTTTTTTCTCATATTACAATCTTTAGGCTTTGTGTGGCAGCTCTTTCAATGTGCCAACGATAGAAGGAAGAACCATACCCATGACAGTAAATGAAGTGGTAAAGCCTGGGATGAGGAGAAGAATTATAGGATATGGATTRCCGCTTCCCAAAAATCCTGACCAACGTGGAGACTTAATTATAGAATTTGAAGTAATCTTCCCAGATAACATTTCTCCAGCATCAAAAGAAGTACTTAGGCGAAATCTTCCAGTTTCATAAAATGGAAGACTGTGTATGTCAACAGATTAAAGTAGGACACTGGAAATGCAGAAGACTGGGAAGTCTGTGCTTTAAAAGTGCAATCTGTAACACCTAGTGGAATCTTTGTTTTTTTTTGTTTTGTGGGATGGGTGGGGGGAAAATACCGTAATGCTGCATGAGAAGAAAAGGGTTTAAGTAGAAGTCATACAGGTGAATTCTGCAGTAAAAATAACAGGGAAAACCACTCGTTTTGTTTTACATCTTCCTAATCAGCAAAGTTTAGTCATTATTTTGCTTAATATAAAATTCAGTAATTTTTTTACAAAGTCAGTKCATATTTCTGATACAGTACTTGAGCCTCCAAGTACTTTGTTTCTTATATCCTTATCCTGTCTATAACATCACATATTTGTACAAAAATTTGAGATAGATAGTAGTAGAAATACACAAAGGTATAARTATTTTAAAGAGCAAAACATGAAAGAGATCATTTCAATATGTTGCCTTCCACTGCACAAAGAAGCATCGGCTGGAAAAATCAGCTTTGACTCCTGAACCTACCCTCTGTTCGATGAAAGCCTTCTCTTTATTGCCCCAGGAAGTGTCAGGACTGCATTGTGAATCTGGCAAAGGGTATCTGGCCTGAGGAGACAGAGTAGGCATTTGCTGTGGGACAGTTCCACAGTCTTCAGGCAGAGCAGCAAGAAGGGACTCTTCAAGGACATGAACAGCAAAGGGTGAGCCTGCTGTCAAATGGGCCAGAGAAACTGGTGACAAATGACATGGAGAAGGCTGACGTACTCTGTGCTGCCTTTGCATCAGTCACTAACATAAAACAAGCACACAGGAATTCCAGGCCCCTGAGACTAGAGGGGAAATCTGTAACCTTGGCAGTGGAGGACTGGGTTASGGTGCATTTTCACTGGAAGTCTCAGCCTAACAGATTCCACCCAAGTGTTGAAGGAGCTGGCTGATWCCGTTGCAGGGCCACTCTTTGAATGGTCAGGGAGATTGAGAAATGTTCCAGTGGACTTGAGAAGAGAAAATACCACTCCTCCAGACAACCAAGAAGTAAGATACAGGAATCTGCAGAGTAATCAGCTTCACCTAAGCCCTTGGTGAAGCCCCCAAAAAATCTTCTTAGAAAGCATTTCTAAAAGGAGTAGTCAACATAGATGTACAACAGGGAAATCTTGCTTGACCAGTCTAATTGCCATTTACAGTGAGCTTCTAACATCAGTAGACAGACTGATGAAATRGAGGTCAGATAAGCAGAAAGTGAGATGGATTAAAAGTTGGCTAAATGAGGGGGCACAAATCAGTGGCATGAAGTCCAGTTGGAGGCRGGTCAACAGTGGTGTACCCCCTCGCTCAGTACTGGGGCCAGTACTATTCAGCATCATTAATGAACTGAATTATGGGATGGAGTTTACCAATCATATAAAATGGGGAGGAGTTTCCCTGGTGCCACCAGCTGATGTACTGCCTTTCAAAGGGACCTCAACAGGCTGAAGAACTGGACAGAGGATTCTCACAAAGTTCAACAGAGGGAATGCAAAGTCTTGCTCCATTGAAGAGTAACTGACCAGTAAACTGAGAATGAGATGGCAATGCAGCCTTGTGGCAACAGTGGCCAGAGCTTTGCTGGCAGCTGAGGGGAGACTGTCCTTTCTCATTACTGTCAGCGCTGATGAGGATACATCTGGAGTACTGGACTCCCTGGTGCTTGAAGGATGTAAACTCAGGGGAGCAGCTCTGGCACAGGACCAGGTGTGAGAGGCTGAGAGAGCTGGAATTTGCCAACCTGGTGAAGAAAAGACTTGAAGAGGTCTTGGCACCTGACAGGGAGTGAATGAAGATGGAGGAGCCAGGCTCTTCTCAGTAGCTCTCAGTGACAGGACTGGATGGGCACAAGTTGGTTAGGGATTCCGTCTGAACACAAGGAAACACATTTTACTGTGAGGATGGTCAAATGCTAGAATAGGTTTCCGAGAGAAGCTGAGGAGTTGCTGTCCCTCAAAACTCATAGCCTGACTGGACATTGTCCAGGGCAGCCTGCTCCAGCTGGCCATGTGTGAACAGGGATGTTGAATGATGCCAAGAGGTTTCTTGTAAGCAAAATGATTCTGTGAACTTGGACTTGGCACTTTTTGTTAGATAGTGCTGTGGGCCATGTTCTGCAAATTAGGCTTAGTCCTAAAATGGTGGTACTCAGGTGACAATTCCCTTGGGAGGAGGTCTGTGCTGGATTGGAAAGATGCACAAAGAGCCCTGTAAAAGCATTTGGCTGGAGCAGGTGTTTAAAGATCATGCTGATCTCAAGTTTTCTTTATTTTCAACGGCCAAACATTACTCCCATGAAGAAGAAAGAGCCCAGGTCCTAGCTCAAGCCAAGTTTGTTTAAGTCACAATGTGGGATTAAGGGTTGCCCAGAAGCTTTCATGCGCATGAATTGAGGGATTTTAAAAATTGAAATACGAGTTAGTTGTTTTTAGAGTTAAAAGATGCATAGAGATGGAGACCCCTCTGTAATAGTCTAGTTTTATAATACACTAATAGGGCTGGTTCCCTTGATTGCAGCATGGTATTGGTGAAAGAAATGCCTTGTGGGCATGCATTATTACTTGAGTTTAAAACCATAATACAGTGCTTTAATACTTTCAAAGGGTTTGGGATTTTTTTTGTTGTTTTTCATGAGAAAGTATGTTAAGATTTGCTGTCAGSCTTTTGCCTGTGGAAATTTAGAGGTTACCTGCTCTGTTAGGTAGCCTAAGAAGTAGCAGTGTTATATATGTGAATCTCTGCAGGAAAGTAAATCATATGGAAGTTGGGATTTAATTTACAGTAACTTTTTAATGAGTGTAAGAAGAATCTCATTTCTGTTACTTAAAGGAATAGAATTTCTGTGAGCTATTGTTCAAGTCAGTTTTTCAACTGCAGACCCCTTCATGCAGTATCAGTTAGTTGAACTTAGTCCTAAACCTGCGGGAAGTAAACAATTGGTGGAGCAGTATCACAAAGAAAAAAAAAATTGCTGCTTAGTGCTTCTGCATATTGTTAATACTATATATTGTTTGTCRAAAAAAATGCCATTTCAGTATGTTCCGTATTGCATTTCTTATGTGGTTTTTACTTAAAAAGTGTAAAGTTGGTTTTTAACTTTCTCTTATATTTTGTTATGATGGCAGATGCTACAAGCTACATGACTTCAAAGCATATCAACCTAAAATATCTATTTGTCAGTTTAAAAGCTATGGAATCAAGCATTTTGTAATCCAGGATCTTGTAACCATATCCAGCTTGTAAAAAAAAAAATTACAGTAACTAGGACTATTTTTTGTAACCATCTTCAGATAAGAGGAGTAGTGTTAAATTGAGGAATTGCAGTATCTTGTGTATTTAGAGATGTATATATATATATATATATGTGTATAGCAAACTAAACTTTTCCAACTGTTTTCAAGCTCAAAATATAAAACTTATAGGACTGGTATGAAATCAATGCTTGTATTTCTTTTCTTATGGAGAGTTAACAAAGTATACATTTCAGAAACCAGTATGTAGAATTACGTCAAAATATGAGAGGAAGCATTAATATCTACCTAATCCAGGATTCACAAAAAAAATATTTTTCTAATCAAAAATGTGCTTAAAAGCTATGTTTTAAAACCCACTTGATTATTTAATAAAGCTACTTGGGAGAAGGAAGCAAATACTCAGTCAACTGGCTATATTTGTAACTACTGAAATACATGGAAATAAAATGGTCATTCATGAAATTGGTATGAGAAAGGTTTTTGGTCTCTTCAAGGTTGCTTAGGTGTCATAGAAGGTAAAAGTCATTTATTTGATTTGGAATTCATCCAGCAAGTCTGAAAACCTCTGCTTCTAAAGATCCTTTTTTAATCTCACCAACATCAAGCTTTAGGGTAATCTCAATCTGTTGGAAGAGTAGGTCAAGCTACATTTCAACCCTTTCTTCTTACTGCCATGCAGTGATACTCTGCTTGCTCCACAGCTTTCTTCTGTCATGAGGGTGTTATTAGCATTATTCTTTCACTCAGTCATTTCTGTATTAGCTGTGCTGAAAGCTTCCTGAAGTGTATTTGTGGTTTATTGAACAAATGCACTCAATTCATTTCTAGGATCTGCATTTTATTTGCTCATCTGACTCTTTTGGGGTTGAATAGGTTTTCCTTTAACAGTGAAATTTTCTGTAACTTCAGAGTTAAATTCTGTGCACTTGAATTAATGTGCTAGACCTAAAAAGTATGGGCCATTAACATGCTACTGTAAATACAATTAGAGACAATTTTACTTTTCCAGTCAGTAAATGCTAGTCCTCCTTTGCAGCTGACATGAATAGTTCTTACTATATCACTTACTGAACAAATCCTATAGGACCAGGGAATTCATCATACAGACACTTACTGTTCAGCACCCAAACTGAGCAAATAGCAGCACTAATCTCATGAGGTGCAGAATCTCAACTTTTCATTTGTCAGATTTCTCAGCAATGGATTATTGGATGGCATGGTTTGTTTCCTTCAGACTTCTCCAATTAATTGTTCTATTATTTATACAGTGAAAGTAGAGATGTACTGTTGATCCCCTTGGGTGTAGAAGGTATAAGTGCCCCGGGCTTGTTTGTTTCCCTGGAATTACTGGCTTATCCAAGGGAGGAGCTGTAGCACAGCAATCTTGTTAGTCATGCCTGATTGCTTTATCGTGGGCAAATTGCCGTGTACACAGCCCTGCTGCCCTACACTCAAAAACATCCAAGCCCCACCCACCCAGCCCCTGAAATACCATATGGCATTTCCCTGAATACGGATAGATACCCCTATGTGTAGTGAAACACACAGAGTGGCATTTCATATCCGGTAACATGACTTTGTTCCACATGCATTCTCCACAAACTATGGCTGTTGCATGCTACGATTCTTGTATCCCAAGTATTACTTGTGAGAAACTGAAAAATGGTCTAGCCTGTAGAGTGCAATGTACTGGGGATAAAAGGATCAAACCCATTTTTTTCWTCCCCCACCCCAAGTTCATGGTTTATTATTCTTTCTGAAACCAAAGCTAATAGCAGTTTTATTTGTTAAGTCTTTTTCCAGAAGTYAATTTGAAGTAATTTTTTGATCCTTGGTATCTTGAGGCTCATTTGGATTCATGATCTAGTTTTGCTGTGTGTTAATTAGTGTTGGCAGATACTTCCCTAGAGGGTACACATTCAAGGGAGTCTGAAAACAAGATTGATTGTAGTTTGAGAAAGTGTCTTCTGTCCGTTACAGACTGTCTTTTCTTTGAGGTTCTCAACAGTCAGATCACCCAGTCACCGTTATGTTGCACTGAGCAAATCTAAATGATTGAAACGGCTAATCCATTATCTGAGCAATATTAAAGAAATAGGACTTGTAGATTAGGAAAAAAGAAGTTCATGGTAATATAACCTCTCCAGTAACAGAGAAAACAGTGTGTTGAACACGTCTTTATACTTACTTTCAAAGCTGGGGGCTGCTGTGGCAACTTCACGTAGATGCTTTTCTAGATTTGGTTTTTAAAATAATTTAACGTATGTGCAATATGAACTTCCTCTGGTTTAAATGACACAAAAMCTGTTTCATTTCACTTGTTACATCATGTAACTAATGATAGCAAATACRTRCTCCATACTGTTTGTGTCTTCAATTTGTTTGGCCAGCTCCATTTGCCTTGTCATTTTTAATTTCCATAAGTAAAAGCTGATGCTTTTGCTTCAAGATGTAGGTAAGATCAACAAAGATCAACATTCTCCATCCACCTCTGTATGAAACATGGAAACATTTACAACTCCACTGAATAAAGTTTTGCAACAGATGCCTAGATTAGGACTGTTAATGTCCATGAACTTTTTAAAATTAATTACACAACCTCTGTATAAGTGGAAACTTGACAGTTCATTAAGTAAATCTCATTAACAGAATCACTAAAATCAGTAATGACTGGAAACAGTATTTACTGGATTTTAAGATTCAATTATCTTTTCACAAGAAAAGGAAAGAGTAGAAACAAGACAAATGTTTGTCACCAATTCCTGTATAACACACTTTAAGTAAATGGAAAAAGGAATCTTGAAAGAAGTTGCTTATTTAAAATTAAAAAAAACAGCAAAACCCCTATAATATCAAGATGAAGAGTTTGGTAGTTAGTTCACCTGTCTCATTTTGTATCACTGCAATGTCATCCAGTGGATGCCAACATGCTGTCTGAACTGCATTCCAATAACTAGAAAAAGTACACAGTTCTACAAGTTCAGAGAAACCTTCAGTTTAAGTTCTGTGGTTTCAAACTGAACTGGAAAGTCAGCTATTAGAGTGTGGGGGTAAGTTTATTGTGCAGTTTTGTTGGTTTTTTTTTAATTGGTTGAAATTCCTACAAAATATTTTAGTAAATATTGAATCCAGTTGTTTCCTACTACAATGGGATAACAGCCATTTTTGAGTATTCCCTTAAATTTACCACATGCTGTCTTGAAAAAAACTGAAGTCATATTGGCTTCAAACCTTTTTTACTTCACAGCTTAAGCAGTTTAAAATCTGTATGTAATTTCATGTAATCAGAGATACTTTCATTAGGTTTGCTAAGAACTTTYGACTCTGGGCTGCCTCAATAATTCATTGTCTGTGCCTGCCTGGTCTGACTCCGTGTACCAGAATCCTTTTTCTCTGGTTTGTGAATTTTATTCTTAAAGTCAAGCTGTGGAAAGGCAATGCTGCTTCTCTCTGCAGCTTTAGAGCAAATTCCTTTAGAAAAG